TTTCATGAGGCATGTGAGTCACGATGATCATTTCATTGGGCATGCAGGTCACGATGATCATTTCATTGGGCATGTGAGTCACAATGAACATTTCATTGAGGCATGTGAGTCACAATGAACATTTCATTGAGGCATGTGAGTCAAATGAACATTTCATTGGGACATGATAGTCACAATGAACATTTTATTGGGGCATGTGAGTCACAATGATCATTTCATTGGGCATGCAGGTCACAATTAACATTTCATTGGAGCATGCAAGTCACAATTAACATTTCATTGGGGCATGTGAGTCACAATGATCATTTCATTGGGCATGCAGGTCACAATTAACATTTCATTGGAGCATGCAAGTCACAATTAACATTTCATTGAGGCATGTGAGTCACAATGAACATTTCATTGGGACATTGGAGTCACAACAAAATTCATTGGGGCATGTGAGTCACAATGAACATTTCATTGAGGCATGTGAGTTCACAATGAACATTTCATTGGGGCATGATAGTCACAATGAACATTTTATTGGGGCATGTGAGTCACAATGATCATTTCATTGGGCATGCAGGTCACAATTAACATTTCATTGGAGCATGCAAGTCACAATTAACATTTCATTGGGGCATGTGAGTCACAATGATCATTTCATTGAGGCATGCGAGTCACAATGATCATTTCATTGGGCATGCAGGTCACAATTAACATTTCATTGGGGCATGTGAGTCACAATGAACATTTCATTGAGGCATGTGAGTCACAATGAACATTTCATTGAGGCATGTGAGTCACAATGAACATTTCATTGGGACATTGGAGTCACAAAAAAATTCATTGGGGCATGTGAGTCACAATGAACATTTCATTGAGGCATGTGAGTCACAATGAACATTTCATTGGGGCAGGGGAGTCGCAATGAAAATTTCATTGGGGCAAAGTCCTATAAATTATTGTAAAAATCCATTGCAGTGAAAATTGATCAGTTTACAGTTGTATATTCGCATGTTAGTTCAATTAATTTAATTAACTTGTAATGCTTGCTAACTTAAGATGTCCAATTCAGCAAAACGCATACTCTGGCAATTGTTGTTATGTGAGCTAAATTTAGATACAGATATAATTCAGACACTAAAACAACTTTGCTAAAACAGGGTATCTATTTCAAAGCCTGGTTAAGTATGTAGAAATAATATTAGATAATTTTTTATATATGTTTGCTTACTTATATTATCAATTTAACATAAAAAACAAGTTTTCATAACTTCAAAAATAGTTTGGGTTAATTTTAAAAATTTTCTTAGTCAACACATAGACCCTCCAGTGGAGGGTTTATGGTCAACATACTTATTTATTACAGCAAGAAAATAATTGTAATAGTAAATTTTTTTTTAAAAAGTATTGTGATCATTAGTGTACATAAAAAGTTATTTTAAAGGTTTGTCTGCCTCAACAAAAAATGGAAGGAGGCGTATTAAGTTACATGCAAGCTTTAAATAGAGATGATACACTACAACAACTAAGAGTGCTCTTACCTGACAAATAGGCATTCTGAGATCGGAGAATCTCCACAATAGAGGCTGCATCCATGGTATGGGCTAAAACATGACAGAAAAAAATCAGAATATAAGTGAAACTCGGGATAAGTTTCCGTTCGGTGCCTCAGGGAGGGGGAAATCTAAAGTAGAACTACGATAGGGTAAAAGCAACAACACAGCCGTGAGACTCCATCACCACACTGAGCAACTTGGGATGGGACAAGGGCTCATTAGCATAAAACAAGTATCAGTTTCATTGAAATATTATATGAATGTTGATGACGTAAGCTGACATACATGTCATGTACACGCATGGGGTTAGTAGAGTCAACTTAAGTACCAGATCTTTTACTTTGATGGCAGTAATTAAATGAGAGATTGATTTAAGTCCTGGATTAGCATACACATGTGTACGAGTACACTATGGTGAATTGGATTTATTGTTGCAAACTTCTATAATCGATTATGGGATTAGCCTTTTGCAAGACCCATAAAGGTCACACATCCTGGTATTTTCTGGGGTAGGTTTTATGAATGACTCGTAAAGGTCACACATCCTGGTATTTTCTGGGGTACGTTTTATGCATGACTCATGACTCGTGAAGGTCACACATCCTTGTATTTTCTGGGGTAGGTTTTATGCATGACCTATACAGGTCACACATCCTGGCATTTATAGGGGCGTTGCAAAATATATTGCGTCTAATTCCAGTATTCGCACTTTATTGGCAATTTAGATTTGCATACTCTACAGACATCCCGTATACATGATGTAAGATAATATTCCTGCAGCTAATTGCTATATTATTCTTAAAATTCTTAAGATCACGTCAAAGTCACTTGTTCTTGTTTTTGTCATTACAACAAAAAGTTTTTATGTATTATTGTAAAATCTGTATTAGAAGCTGTGGCTTCTATTAAAATGATACAATGCAAACAGAGGGGATGTGGTTTCTATTAGAACATCTACACATACAAGAAATGGTAAATGTTTGGTTCTCGATTGTTCAAAAGGAATGGGTGCGACGTATATTAGAGATGCGGCTTCTAATACAGATTTTACCTTGCCAAACCCCATCCCCCAAAAAGTACTTGTATGTAGAGTCTGAATATGTATATAGAAAATAAACCAGACAATTCTTGTTAATATTGTGTAAGTGTGACCATACAGTTTTCACTGTTACATTAATGCATGTTTATCAATCAAGCATTCAAAAGCAATTGTATACACCTCTATCAAAACTAAGTTTTGTTCAAAGGCTGCTTGTTCAGTAAAGTTGTAAACAGATTTACAACAGTAATAAATTACCATCAGCAGTGAAGTATTGGCAAAGTGGTCTGTACATTGATAGACTGAGATAGATTTCAACTATTGAGAATACATTAAATATGCTGCTTCACTTCAACAAAGGCAATAATCACAAGTCAAAACCAATTGACAACTGAACCAATACTAGGATATATACTTAATGGTAGCTACATAAAGGAGACTCAATCCTGTTTTATGTGAAAAGAAATTACCTGTATTTTCCCCCCTGTTTACTGTAAAATACTTTATTTTAGCTAGAATTAATTTTCGCTGAAAAGACTTGGATGTTTTGTATGGAATTTATTTTCACTGATATCATCAATGAAAATAGCAGAAATAATGTATTTTACACAAATTTATTTTATAATTTTTTTCATTTATTTTTGAACAAAATGTTTTTGCACTGTTTCTTTTACTTTTTGAAAAAAAATTAAATACCAACTGAGTAAGTTTGGTTTGGTACCAAGTAAGTAATGAATTACAAATAAATCTCTGTGATCCAGACATTACAAGTACTACATGTATTACTAGCACTCCTAGGCATACCTCACACTGTCACCATGGCAACATCATTAGCTTCCAGGGTGGTATATCAAAAGCAATAATCTACCACTAATTGATAACAAATTTATCCAACTGGTTGGTGACAGCTGTAGACATCCTTTCACACTAAATTACAGTTCAGTGTTCTCCACAGAAACATTGCCAATTAGGTTGTGTTAATTCCTCCTTATATCATTCATGTCTATTCAACTGTTCTTGTATGGTGGAGCAAAAAATCAGCGGTTTCATTTATGTGTGAATTGACTGAAGCACAACTTTTTCATAAAGTATTAGGACCCCTACTCCATAATACCCTGGAAAGCAACAACTCAGTTATGTGATTAAACTTGTGGTGGTTGTTGTGTCATGCATGCGTGAGATATACCAGTAGGTCTGATATAAACAAAGATGGTGATTTTGACTGTTGTGCACACCACTGAGTACAAACTG